ATCTATCTATCTATCTATCTATCTATCTATCTATCAATCTATCCATCTATCTATCTATCTATCTATCTATCTATCTATCTATAATCGGCTTAATCCCTTATATATCAGGGGTTACCACAGCGGAATGAACCTCTATCTATCTATCTATCAATCTATCTATCTATCTATCTATCTATCTATCTATCTATCTATCTATCTATCTATCTATCTATCTATCTATCGTATATTTATTAAAGTAACCCAAACGGTATAAAATACATTTAAATTAAAATGAAACGACAACACAAATAAAATGGCACCAAAATGGCTAAAACACTCAAATGACAACATGATTAAATAAGCTACAACTACATAAACTACAAAATAAAAACTTACTGTAAATGGTATCACAATGCTAAAAAATACACTGAAAAAAGTGAGACGTTTCTATGAACGCAACACGATTACATTTTCAAGCAGTTTCAAGCTCTTTACTCAAAATCTAAGCCCAACCTCAAAAAAAAACTTAATTAAAATTCAAGTACTTTCAATGATTTGCAGCACCGGTAAGAAACCTGCACTTAAACAACTCGAAGTTTTTTAAGCTACTGAACTGTAAAATCTAGCCTTTAAGGAGAATTAAAGAGACACAAGTAATAAGATTGCATTTGGATGGATTTTCATCATCCATTTGGATTGTTTTTACAACAAAAGAAAGGTAAAGAAAGGGACATAGACCAAGAGGGTTTAGGTATTCTATATACAGTAGTATCTCCTTCACTCGAGTTCACATAGAGTTCTGAAATAATCCTTTTAACATGGTTAAAAATAATAAATGTTTCCTGACACTGATTATGTTTCCCTCCAGCAGGCTTAACATCCTGATAGTTCTCTAATGTGAAACTGCCACGCTCTACTTTGACTCATTTATTTAGGTCGACTTCTTGAAAAAACTTGTTTACTGTGTCTCCTGCTGTGTTTACTGTCACACCGCAGCTTTTTTTAGGTTTATTGTTGTGGTTTTGTTAAATTGAGAAATGACAAGCAGGGTGATTCCCATAATAGAAAGTCAAAGGAAAGGTATCGATTTGGGATTTACCTGTGCGCTGAGAGTCTCCAGTGGACTTTCCACACGGGGGAACGTCATCAAGGGAAGACCGCGGTAATCCTCCTGCTTCTGTTTAGTAGGTGTCGAGTGAGTCCCTTTGAAGTTGTTCACTACACAGATTCCCTACAAGGAGAAAAGGGACACTTGGAGTAGTCTACTAAATGTTAACAAACTGCACACTACTGTACAACACAATATTTATCAATAAATAATGACAATAATCAACTGAACATCAAAAAAATAACACGGTATTTTAATATATTTTTTTATTATATTTATATCTGAGCTTTCATTTTTTTAAAAACAAATCTGTCATGTTTCTGACATTCTAACCTGCATTCATTAAAATGTGTTCTATGTTATGTTATGTGAGATGCTATGTTATCTGTTGTTATTGTATGTTAAAGAGCCCATATTATGAGTTTTTGAAAATGACCCTCCATGTAGTGTGTAACACAGCTCTAAAGTAAAGTGAAGTATCCAGCTAAGGCTTAAATAAGTAAGAGTACAGTGTTTAAAACTGTTGATTCATTTATAAAAGAGTCGACTCATAGTGCTTCAAACGAGTCGCCTTGATAACGAGTCATTAGGTGTTTCGCCATGACGTACGAACGAAACCAAGTTATTCACGTGCACGCGCAAACCCGGGAGATTTGAAACCTGCGGCCCCGCCCTCTGACACAGAAACCCACACACACACACACACACACACACACACACAAACACACACACACACACACACACACAAACATGCCGGTCGATTGAAGTCACACTGCAGATGGATATTATCGAGTCTCTACCCAAAGATGAAACCTCAGCATTATAGCCAAGCAGTTGGAAACTACTGGAAACTTCTGGAAACTACATGCTACAAATAATACTTCGTTTGTTAAAGGAAGGATCAGTAAAGACTGATTCAGTAAAGTATGTCAGGACATGCATCGGTTTTTCCTCCATTTCTCAAGTGTAAGTACAGATGTTACTACTTCAATGTGTTCCTTGTGCCGCCATTCATGCCGCGGCGACGGCGGTACTTGATGCGCCAGCAGCATTTGACCGCTGGGTGGCACTTTAACCACAGATATTCAGCTTTGCCTTTTCACAATGCTAAACAGACTGTTCTGTAGGCGTAGCTTACTGTATGTGATGTGATGTGTTCAATTAAAATATAATTTTAATTTAGTTTTTCTGGTAATAGACATGCTCTTACACTATACTATGCTGTAGAAAAGATACATGGTGAGAAGTCAAAAAGCAAATATAAGAATTAAGTTATTAGCCTTCAGTGCCCGATTAAATTGTGTTGGGGTGAAAATAATGTTTTGATTTCTTTGACTATCATGGCAATGTTATAATCTCAAATCTTAAACGTGCGCATATGAAAAACAGCAAAATAATATAGATTATCCTGCCGGTAGAACACATCACCTCACAGTTGTGAACTTGCGATCACCTCAACTTACATTTAATTTTTTTTTTACCTGGTTTATTGTAAACTTATTAAGTGCAAAGAGGATTCGTTTTGGAAAATAGAATTGAAGAAATGAAAGACAACTAAAATGAAAGCACAAACATTCAGTACAAATAATTAGTCTTAAATAAATAAATAAATAAATAAAGCAGTCTTTTAGTCTAAATATAGAGAGATGTAGTGTTGCTATTTTGATAGAACTAAGACTAGACATGTTCATTTATATTTTTAATTTACGTTTTTATTTACATTTTCGTTGTTGATTATATTTACAATCTCATTTTATGTTTCAATTATAGTACATAATAATAAACGAATAATGAAAATAAATGAATAATGAAAATAGGACATAAATTAAATCTGGCAGGTTTATTTTTAATAATTTAGTTTCAGTTCCGTTTTTTTGTTTCAAAACGTCAATGTTCTGCTTTAAAGTATAACTGTTGTTTTGTTTTGTTTTTTTTACTTAATGGCTCAGTATGTTTTGTATTTTAATTTCATATTCAGTCACCTTGCATATGCGTGTGAAATATAATGCCGCATAACCGCGGAAAAAGAAG